ATAAGAGCTTCCAGTGTTCCCTTCCACGCTTGGAATCTCGATTTTTTTTAGATGCTTGCAATGTTTATAGGTTCTTATGTTTGTTCTGATGAAAACACTCTTAAAAGAACTAACATGGATATTGCTAGGTTTGTGGTGAGAATGCCTATCACCCCCCGTGTTGACAGAATCGGAGAAGGTTAATATTGACGATGTGGATTACATCATTTTAATGCGTGAAGACACTTATGGTCCTTTATGCATTTCGAAGGAATCACCTAAGCTCATATCTTCTGTTTTAGAATCATCTAATACGGAGGAAGGTTGGTCTAATTTTGAGTCAAACGAAAAAGGCAAGGAAGATTTAGACGCTGCTTATTTTTCTTCGATGAAGGAAGAAGAAGTAGAGGGAAAGAAGGTGGATAGGGTGGCGGCTAGATCTGCAAAAGAAGGAAAGAAGGTGGTAGGCGATGATGTTCCTGTCATGTCTAGGGAATTAGAAAAGTTGGTTTTTGGTGGTACTTTTTATGAAGCTATTGGGGTGGCTAAGGTAAAGTCGTGTCAGAAAAAGAAAAGGCGGGGGGCCATTAATGATTGTTCCATTTCTTTTGGTTCGATGGGAACCAAGGTTTGTTGTACTTTGGATACCTTCTTTAAACCCATGTGAAGTGGGCCATTGGTAATTAAAAGTGTTTTCAAAGCAAAAAAATTAAAAAAGTATTTATGAGTTTGGTGGGTCATTTCATGTTAAGAAGTTAAGGCCCAATAAGCGGCATTTGAAGGGTTCAAATTTTGATCCGGGCCGGATGGGGTTTATGGTTAAGCACTCTATTTTCCGCCCAGGTGGATCCACCGAGTTTTTCAGGGAAAGTGATTCTCAAGGAACGGCGTTTCGTGTAGCTCGTACCTCTGAATCTGATATCATTAGACGCAACTCTCGGTTTTGGGAGAATGTGGAGTCAAAGGTTGGGGAGGGGTTGTGGCAAGAAATTTCTAACCTCGGGGTTGTGGAATTTAATTCCAAGAAGGATTACAAGAAGAAGATTGAGGAGGTGGAAATGGATGATAAAGCTAGAAAGATGGGAAGGAAGGTGAACATCAATTAGTTAAAATGATTATAGGTTCGGTGAACATAAGAGGGGGAGGTAGTTTGTTAAATAGAATGCGTATAAGTCAAATCATCGAAAAGGAAAATGTGGATCTGTTTTTAATCCAAGAATCCAAATTTACGAAGGTTGGAGCTAGTACTGTTAGAAGCTTATGGAGCAAGGAGAAATTTTGTTGGTCTTTTTCTAGTTCGAATGGGTTGTCTGGAAGTCTCATCATCCTTTGGAAGAAAAGGAGTATGGAAGTATTGATAATTTTTAGAGAAGACGGTTCTTAGTTGTCAAAATAAGATGGAGGAATTTTACTTATTATTTCGCTAATGTGTACTCTTCATGCTCCTTGGCTTTAAAAAGGATTCTGTGGAAAAATCTGTTAGAGCTTAAGTCGAGAAATTTTTATGGAGAATGGTGTTTTCGTGGTGACTTCAACGCGGTTTCAAAGTTAAGGGAAAGGAAAGGGAGATCGATGGTAAATAGGAACTCTGAAATGAAGGAGTTCTTAGATTTTATCGTTGAGAGCAATCTTATGGTTTCCCTTACAAAGGGAAGAAGTTTAGTTGGTTTAGCGACAATGGGAAAGCCATGAGTATAATTAAATGGTTTCTCATTTTAGATGACATTATTATAAGATGGGGGTGGTTGGTCAATTTATTGGCTTGAGAGATATTTCGGACCATTGTCCGGTTTAGCTCGTGATTGATAATTTGGATTGGGGTCTGAAACCTTTCAAGTTCTACAACGAGTGGTTTGGCAACAAAGCTTTTATTCCTTTCATTGAAAAGGAATGGAAATATTTGGTTATCAAAGGGAGAAGCAATTTAGTTCTTAAGGAGAAGTTGAGACTTCTAAAAGGTAGGCTTAGGTGGTGAAAAAACGAGGTTTTCAAAAGGATTGATTTGGAGGTGAGGGAGGGGTGAGAGAGTTGAACGTTGGGGACAATTTGGCCGAAATAGGTACTGAATATGCGTATGACAAAATTTTAGGAAGAAGAAGGGAGGATTCTAGTCACTTTTTGATGAATCTCAGGGTTAAAGAAAACATGCTTATTCAGAAATCTAGGTTAAAGTGGCTTAATGACGGTGATTCTAACAACAAGTATTTTCATTGTGTTATGAAGGAAATGAGGAGGCACAACTTTATTGGTTCAAACAATTCCACCAACGATCTTTTGGATTCTGTAAAGGATGTGAAAGTTGAGGTCTAAAATCATGGTGCTAGTAAATTTGCGGAGTCCGATTGGTGCAGGCTGGTGTTAGAAGGGATTCTTTTTAATTTGATCAATCATATGAGAGGTCTTTCCTTGAAGCCCCATTTTTGGAAGGTGAGATCAAGGAGGCGGTTTGGGGGTGTGAGGGTTCCAAGAGTTCGATCCTGGGCGGATATTCCTTTTTGTTTATACGAAGGTGTTGATTCTTTATTAAAGAGGATTTCTTCTGTTTCTTTAAGGATTTTCATGGTAGGGCATTTTTGTCGAAAGCAGTCATTTCTTCCTTATTGACTTTGATTTCAGAGTTATCTAATTTGTTAGGATTGGATGACTACCGACCTATTTGTCTTGTTGGATGTATGTACAATGCGCTTTCAAAATTTTTGACGGTGAGATTAAAATATGTTTTGTGTTCAATCATTTTGCCTTATCAAAGCGCTTTTGTTCCGGGGAAACAAATGCTTGACGGTGTTTTGGTGGCAAATGAGTCAGTAGATCATGCAACTAAAGAGAAGAAGGTTTGTTTACTCTTTAAGGTTGATTTCGAAAAAGGCTTACGACAAGGTTAGTTGGGGGTTTTATAGATTCGTGATGAGAAAAAATTGGGTTTGGAGATTTATGGATGACTTGGATGGAGGCGGTTATTTTCTCTAACAATATGTCGGTTTTAGTTAACGGAGTCCTACTAAGGAGTTTACCGTAGAGAGGACTTTGAGATAAGGAGATCCGCTTTCTCCTTTTCTTTTTGTGCTTGTTGCAGAAGGTTTGTCGGGTTTGGGATCAACTTTCACAAAAGCAAACTAATCGGGATTAATTTAAGTCCACAGTTTTTGGAGGTTGTTGCGAGCTTTCTCTCTTGAAGGGTAGAAGATAAGGAGTTTATCTTTCTGGGTATTCCCGTCAGGTTGAATCATAGAAGTATTGCAACGAGGAAGGTGTTAATTAACAAGGTAAAGAATCAATTATCTAGTTAGAACGTCTGCTATCTTAGTTTTGGATGTAGAATCACGCTTCTTAAATTCGTGTTATGTAGTTTGTCGATTTTTCTTCTCTCCTTTTTTGGAGCTCAGGTTAAGGTTGGCAAAGACATTGTAAAGTTGCTGAGTAATTTTCTTTGGGGAAGGTCGGAAAAACGTAGAAGAATTCATTGAGTCAGTTGGAAGAAAGTGTTTTTACCTATTTAAAATGATGGTTTGGGCTTAAAAAGGATCGATAATTTTAATTTCGCTCTTCTGCATAAATAGAGATGGAGGATTTTGGTTGGTTTAGAAGATTTATGGTATAAGGTTTTGAAGGCACGATACGAGGATATCAAATTACTAATGTAGTCTCAAGGAAATTTTAATAATAATAAAAAATTTAAATTGGCTTGGTGGATGGACCTACTGTCCCTTGTCACAAGGGGTCTTGCGGATTATTTTTCTGATAATTTCAAGTTTAGTATCGGTAACGACTTTACCACTTCCTCTTGACACGCAACTTAGCACCACGATTGCAGCTTGAAAAAGCCGTTTCCAAAATTGTTTTCTGTTTCTCTGATACAAGAGGTTTCCGTGGCAGGCATAGGGGAGTGGATTGATGGGGTGTGGTGTTGGGATGATTTTAGTATTCCGGTTGCGTCTATTTTCCCAGTTGCTTCCAGTGCCCAGGTCTTGTGCAGTTTGTTGGAGTTTGTTTCTCCGAAACCAGCAGGAAAGGACCCTGCGGTTTGGCTTCCTGACCGTGACAATGGCTATTATACAAAATTGTTATACACTTTGATTAGTAGGTTCCACATCCCTTTCGGTCCTCCTAATCAATTCGATAAAGCTTTGGCCAGAGTATGAAAAATAAAGGTCCCTTTCAAAATAAAAGATTTCGGTTGGAGGTGTTTTATAAACAAATTACCGACGAAGGATTTTTATGTTTTAAGGTTTTTTTTCTCCTTCTAGTGATTTATCTTGTGTTCTCTGCTCGTCAATTTTGGAATCGTTGGACCACTCTATTATATTTTGATGCTAATCTTTGTTGGTGTGAAGGAGGTATCAGATTGGATTGGTTATTCGGAGATCCAAAACTTTTGTTTTAAGAGTGGTTTCTTGTCTTTGGCGTCTTTTTGCAAGTATAAGAAAGTGAAGGCCGAAAAAGTTGGATTATTTGGCTGGCGGTGTGTTGAAATTTATGGATCCTTCGAAATATAATAGTTTTTCGAAACAAAGATTGGAACATCATAGACATAGTTTGGAATGTCAAGACAACGACATGGAGATGGTCTTTCATCGGAGATATTACTCATCCCAATTGTAATTTTTATGACTTTTACAAAAATATTTTGTATTATTTTTCTTAAGTTTCAATTAAATTGTAATCTCCTTCTCTTATTTTCTCTAACTTTTTTGTATTCGAAGTTGAGTACTGATATTACTCCCAACAATAAATCTGGCTTAAAATAAAAAATAATAAAGTTTTAAGTTTTAATCCTACACTCTTTCACCTCATTTCTTCATGGATCAAGGTGAACAAAAGTGGAAGTAATTTTTCCATATTAAAAAATTGAATGAAACTTTATCCAATGACTTCCCAAAAAGGTAATAATTCAAAAGAAAAGTGGAAAAAAGAAAAAGAGAACATTTTTAGAAAAGGATCATCAATACTTCAGACTAAAAATTTAACAATTAAAATTACAATAATAATAATAATAAAAGCAAATTACTTTGCTTAAATATTAGTTAAACATCAACAACACAACTTTGTGATAACTGAAACTTAACCGCCGGACCAGAAACTCCAAACCCGTCACTACCTTTATCGCCGGCAACCCGTATAAACGCCGGACAGTTCACATCAATATGGTACCTTCCAGAAACCCAAGTTCCAACCTTCCACTTAACCCTCCCGTTGACTTTAATGTTAAGTAAAACTCCACCTGAAGTTAGATCCTGCCGCAGAATCTCCGACAAGAAAGGCGAAACCGGAACAGCCGAACCGTATAATATCGGCGACCAAACGGAGATGTCTCGGTGACCTTGATAAGTTTCTGGAACACCAGTTGCAAGAGAGATTTGTTGTCCTCTATAGGAAGCGTAAGCGTCAAGTTTATTATAATAAATGCCGATTTTTGAGTTTGGGTTTAAGGATGTAAGTGTGACTTGAATTGTGAGGGTTAGGGTGTTTGGTGTTGGTGTGGTTATGGATGGTGTTTCTCCGGTGGAGGTGAGGTTGAAGGCGAAGACGGTTACATCTTGGAGGAGGAAACGTGGTTTGGTTGGTCGGAGGATGATCCAGATTAGGAAGATTGTGAGGAGTATAAGGATAACGAAGGTGAGGATTCCGGCGAATACGCGGCGGATGAGTTGGCGGTGTTCGTCTTGGTGGTACTCGCACTCTTTGATCATGGCTTTGTTTGGTTTTTGTGTTGTGAATGTGTTTGGAAAGGTTGAGAATATGAGTGAAAAAAGGTTGTTTCTTTGCTTGTAATGGAATGGAGAATGTGTTTTCTTACATAAAAGTATGTAATATATAGGTGAATGTGGTGAGAGGGGTTGGAGGTGGTTAGAGGGTAATAATTAGTTTTAAGGACTTTGAGTTTAGTTTGGTTGTGTGTTCTTATATGTCTATGCTTGTAGTTCACGGTTTGGTTAAATTTTAGTCAATCTTTATATTTGATATTTATATCACACTATGTATATGTTACTATATGTTCTTATGGATAAGCTAGGAGAGATTGTTTAACCAAAACTATGCCTAAATCATGAAATTAATATCAATATAATATTTTTTAATTTCGAGAAATTTTATTTTTTTAAGTAAAAATTTTAAATGTGAAACGTCTAACTTTGATCTAATAATTATAAGTATTTTGATTGTATATTCGGTCTTAATTCAACAATTAACAATAACTTTAGAGACACGTTATTTTTGACACTTATTTTATATATTATATTTATATTTGTATATTATTTATCGTATTTATACAGTAAATAGTATTTTTTTAATAAAAAATATTTTTTGTAAAAAAATATTTATTTTTTAAATTTATTTTATAATACAAATATAAAAATGTGTCATTAACTAATTTTGTAATTGAATTAACTATAAAATTATGTCATTAATCAATTATTTTACTTATAATTTATTAACCACTTTCACTACTTTATTAATCAATAAAATATATATTATTAACCATGTTTTGAAACTAAATTATAAATATATTAATCAACTTTGCCATTTTATTAATCAACTTTATTTTATTATTTAATATTTTTTTTTTATATTTAAAATTCATTAATCAAATTATGATTGTATTAACTAACTTTATACATAATATTAATTAAAGTCTGAACTGTGTATATACTAAATTTCTTATGTCATAATATATATTAATCAAATTATTATTGTATTAATAAAATTTTAATATTTCATTAATCAAAATAATTTTAGAGAAAAATATATTAAAAAATTAAAATATTACCTATATGCTATTCAGTATTTGTTAATAATATATACAGTGTAGTGTCAAAATAGCATTTTTGATAACTTTACCAATTTCGAATTTTATAGCCTATGAATTATGTCAAGGGCTACTGTTGAACTAGTGTGTGTCTTTTTCGTTAACGTAAAAATGGTCAACATAACACGGTACAAGAGAAGAATATGGCATACAGTACAAATATAGAACATTGGAAATCTAGTTTTTCACAAAAATTCTCAACTGGCATGAAGAGTGTTTGCAGCGTGTTTGCCATCCACAAGACAAGAATTAAACACATACGCATCCCACGAAGATTCTAGATATATAGAAATGCATTGAAACTAGAGCGGAGGATTTGAGAATTCAGAGCATTATATGCAAAGTAGTCATTACTATTAGTTTTACTATATTATTAGAAGAAACTCACCATTTCTGATGCTGATCTTTTCATTAATTGAATTTCTTGTTATTACAGTTGCAAGTACATTGAATTTATATAAGTAAAGTTAAACTGAAAAATTAAATGGTATGGCATTTAATAACTTGTATTTGCTTCTGTTAGTTTTCCCAATACAGCTGATAAGTACTTTGACCTTTTATTTTATTAGCCTCAAACCTGTCTTCTATTGATATACTTCAAAAACTCTCCCGCGAGAGCAGGAGATTTTCAAGAAAGAACCTTGAGTTTGATTTTGAGTTCTTGAAATGTAATTGTGCTAAGTAGCTTGGTCAATCACTATTAAGAAAATTATATTTTATCACGGTTGAAAACGTAGTGTGTCATGTAAAACACACTATTTTTCCTTTCATATTAATCTTCAAGATAAAAAACTCGATAGTATGTCACTTTTCCTAATCTACCAAACCAGGTGAAAATTTGCGTTGGTCATGAGTTCGAATCCCAATAATAATATTATATTTTAGCATTTTCAAAATGATGTGTTATCCTGATTTTGTTCTCACTGTTGAAATAATAACCGAGGTAAAAAAAAACTCAATTTTTCTCTCAATTGAAACTTCTATCAAAGAGAATTGGTGTCAGGAATCACTTTTACCTCGGTTGATATATATATATATATATATATATATATATATATATATATATATATATATATATATATATATATATATATATATATATATATATATATATATATATATATATATATATATATATATGGGTGGCAAACGGGCATACCCGCCCCGTTTAGGCTCATCCCTCAAAAGCCCGCAAAAAAACGGGGCGGACATAGTTGAGAATGAGGGTCTAAAACCTAGGTCATTCCTGCGAAAAAGTGAGTGTGGTACATGGAAAGCTCGCGGACACTGCATCTTTTAGGTCTAAAAGTGTAAAGTTTTATACTAAAAATCATACCCGCAAAAGCTCGTGAAGAAAATAGGACGGGCCGAGGCAGTCACATTAGAGGGTGAGAACCTAAATTTTTGGCCCGCCCCGCTCTAAAATGCGGGTAAAGCGGACATGTTCAAACGGGCCGGGTCCGTTTTGCCACCCATATATATATATATATATATATATATATATATATATATATATATATATATATATATATATATATATATATATATATATATATATATATATATATATATATATATATATATATATATTCACACATACTGCAACCTTCATATCTGTCTTCATCAATCGCTACCTTCAGGTTCGTACATTAAGCTTATGCTCTGATTTCATTTACGTTTCTTGTTAAAAATAGATTCTCATTTTTTTTTCATTTGGTGAATATTTCATGTAATGATGTTAATGTGATAGTGTTTATTTTTTACTTACAGGAAAAGTGACTGAAGAAAACCTCTTAACAAAGCGCATACTTTGGCTGTGGTACATATGATTTGTGTTGCTATAAAAAAGTACAAGAAGTATGAAGCTATTGTGTAAACCTCATCCACCATATATTTCTTTTTCATATAAATATAAACTAGATGAAATTCATAACTGATTCCAGTTCCACGATTAGTTTCAATAAAATGTGCGATCTTGAAACCTTTTATTATATCATGTTTTGTTGTATTTTGTTGCATGTTGTTGTATATTGTTAGTGTTTTGTTGCTAGAAGGTATGTTTTTTATTTTGTTGTATGTATTGGTTGTGTTGTTGATAAATGCTTTTGTATGTTGTTTTTTATTAATATTCTTAGAACAAGAATAAAACATTGCTAAGTTACAAGAAAGAGGCTTCTTGTGACTTAGTAATATTTTTCTTTAAATTATTATGCAGATTGAGAGAAGATCAAGTTGAGTTTATTATATTCTATGTATTTTTTGTTTCACTAAAGCTTCACTAAATATACATTCATTTAAATTGGAATAGAAACTTATAATCTGAAAATTAAGTTGTATTTGAAAACCAACTTATAGCAATCAATATTTTCTGAATTGCATGCGTCTCATCATTCATTTCACGCTCTTTAACATATAGAATATGGTTTAGTTACCGTATTCTTTCATTACATTGATATCTTCTCTTATTATTTAATTTGAATAACATCAATTTATACGCCAAGTCTACCTCATCATTATCGCTTATCATCGTCGTGGTTGTTATGATGATAAGTCATCTTAACAATCATGACAATAAGCGACGATGATGAGGTAGACTTGGCCAATAAATTGATGTTATTCAAATTAAACTATAATTGAAGGAATCTATACCATAAAGGACTTATACCACTGAACCACACTATATATGTTAAAGAGTGTGAAATGAATTGTGACATGCATACAATTCGAAAAATTGTGAGTTGTTTAAGTTGATTTTCAATAATTGTTTAATTTTCAGATTATATATTTCTTCATCGATTTCAACGGTTGTATTTATGTAGTGAGGTGTAGGTAAAAAAAAATCTATATATTATATAATAAACTCTAGGTACTTTCTACAATGGTTATCTATTGTAACTGTGATAATGTGTTATTTATATTTCAAATAAATTATTGTTGTTGGGTTTCAAACTGAGTATATATATATATATATATATATATATATATATATATATATATATATATATATATATATATATATATATATATATATATATATATATATATATATATATATATATCACAACGGTTGATAAGTGTAACCGTTGTGATAGGTAGCGCACATCCTGCCTTATAATCACAGTCTCACGACCGTAGTGAAAAGCATCAGACCTACAATCACACCATATCTCACAGTGGTTGGTCAGATGTTGTGGTATTTCTTTTTCAACTGTTGTTGTATAGTTTTTTCGTAGTAGTGTACATCTCTAATTAACACAAGATAATAGCATTGAAGAATAAGTACAATCTAATTATAGTTTCACTTATATTTTTTGGTAATATTCCATGAATAGCCATTTGTAGAAGTTGTTGCATCAAGACATGACAATAATTATATTTTAAAGTAATTAATTTGAGGTCTTTCATTGATACAAACTTCTTGAAATTTGATGAATACCCTGGAGAAACTTTAATACCATGCAAATACTCGCAAAAAATAATTTCTTTTCTAGACAATGTGTGACATGTTAGGGATAAATATGTTCTTTTACTTATTTCTTTTAGGGATAAATCTTTCCTTGTATCTATCTCTACCAAATCTAGACGGTATTCTTACCATATTTACCTTGAATATTGATAAGTGTTCCAATCAAACTATTACGCACGTTTTTCTCCATATTCATCACACCAAGACAATGTCTTACATAGAGGCTAGATCAACATGTTTTGTAAAAAACGATGCCGGAATAACAAAGTATAACTGATTTCTTGATCGACAAGAAAACCACAAGGGTAGGAAAGAGAGAAGCAAGAAGAACACAATAGAATTGGTTCTAAATTACTATTCTTTACTTTCTCTTCGAAACAAGATTACAAGTGTTACAGAATAACAAATAACCTCTCTCA